TTAAATACTTGATTGTATAATTGTATAATGTTATTATTCCTGAGTTAATGAAATCAATTACAAACTATTATAATAAATCCTGGACTTGAAATAATAATTAACCTGGATAATTGAAGATAATATTTAAAGTGGATGGAATTAAAAGAGGATTAATGGACGAATATTAATTCTAAGGATAATAATGAACTTGAAAAGATATTGAAATAAATTAAATGAAAGGTCTGATTCCCTTTCTAAAATAATTGAATCAGTGGTGCCTTCTAAAATAATGAAACAACAGTCTTACCTTTGGGAAAGGACTATAAACTCCTTAAAAGAACCGTCAAGTCACTCTACTTAGGTAGTTCTTGAAGAAACCAAGGACCACCGGTGACAACGTCACTTGTTGTAAAAGGTTTTGAAACATCAAGATAGAAAAAGCTATCAACAAAATTTCCATTCCATCCACCATTAAAATAAACCTTATTGTTAACCAGAACTGCAGCTGATTCTATCATCGGGGAAGGAATGAACGCATTTATACCACCAATAAAAATAAGAAGACAGATAATAATCGTTATTAAAATATGATTCATTTACTATTATCGTTTAGTATATCCCTAAAAAACAATAATGAAATTTAGTGGAACCAATAAAGAAGTAAAAATATGTCAAAATTAGATTAAAGTGCCAAAGATCGATTAGAAAAGAAATAATAGATGAGTTATATTTAGGTATAATTTATTATAAAGTGTAATGTTTTCAAAGATTTTAAAAGATATTGGAAAGCTTCGACTTCTAAATAATAACTGATTCTTAATATTTCAATATAGTTATAAATTTGGCACGAAACAAATGTGTTACCATATATATTCTGAAACTTTATTTATTTGTTTCATGATCATAATGAATTTAACGAAATTCCTATCAGGATAAGCATTACATAAAGACAGAATTTGTAGTATCTTCTGAGATCAATTAGAAGGGGTCTAATACGAATAGCCATTGAAAGATTCTTCATCCTGATCGACTATATTAAAGTAATAATATAATTCTCGGATATGATAACTCTGTTAATAATACCATGATCGATCACCACCAGAATTTACGATTATTTGCATCCAGATTGAATATTTTTTTTAGTGATTGAGACTTATATTAAAGGCTTATTTCAGTGAAGCTGGCACAGTCAAGTATTGATACATAAATTACGATTCAATTTTTCCTCACCTATTTTGAATGGAAATTATTCTATATAAAACTTTGCTAAACTTAAATGATGTGGTATTGCCAGAGTCCATGGTGGCTCATGCTTTTCAGATAAGTGTTTAATGATGCAATATCACAAATATTATTATTAGAAAAAAAATAAAATATCATTATTTTTTTAATTTAATAATTGACATTTATGTTTATATATAATTATCTTCATTTTCTTTATTTTTTAAGTTGGATTATTGTATGTACTAAGAGGTGACACTAATATATAATTATTATCCTTTGTTTTTAGGTCAAATTATAATGGGGTCAATAAATATTAAAAAATGAGATCCTGTAGTTTCTTTATATAGAATATTTTAAATGAAAGTAATAAATTTCATTGAATATTTTTTTTAAAAAAAAAGAATATCTCAAATAATCACTTCTTTTAAAAACATGATAAAAATAAATAACGTTAAATTATACAAAATATCATAATAATTATTTCTTTGGTAAAACTTGGAAAATTTCAAATTCTTCAATTGAAAAAGTATCTGTTCAGTATTGTAAATGATTTGTTTTTTCGAAAGCTAGAATATTATGTTAAAAACTAGCGAATCCCCGTGTCACCGAGCACGGTAATAGCCAATAGAAACATCTGTTTATCCCTTTACCTAGATATAGGCAACATTAAAATAAAAATTCGATGAAGTTTCTTTTTAACACTTTGTTATCTCTCCTTTTGCATCCAATACTGTTTCAATTCTTTGTGGCATTGAGTCCACAACTTCTTAAGAGTTAATATATTAAATCTTGATCACTCCTTACTCAAAGCAGTCTTGAGCTCATCTACAGTTTTTGGAAATTTTTTTTTGTTTTTTGAATATTGTCCTTTAAGTTTTTTTTGCGGAGGATATCCAGTTGAAACACCAGCTTTGGATGTCATTTTTAACCATACAAGTCCATACAGTCAGAAAATATTGCTTATGGTTATACCAGAAAGTTCTGTCGTCACATGCAAATTTTACTTTTAAATATACAATACAATTAATATTATATAAAATATTGGATATTAGAGAAAAGCGATTTATATGATTATTGGCTGATTGAGGGATCCTTAAATTTATAAATAATTTATTTAAATATTTAAGAATAAAATAAACATAACGTATCTGCATCTGTATCGCGTGATATTATATTTAATCATATGATAATAGTTATAGTTACAATATATAATATATAAAACATGCGTGATCACAGGAGATATTTATATCATATCTAAATATGATATAGCTATTAAGAAATTTGTTGATTACTTTCTTCTTCCTGTGAAGTAAAAAAGTTTGGAGAATGACCATATCTTTTGATAGTAATAAATGCAACTGTTGACAAGATTATCAACCCCGCAATTCCACCAATTGTGCCACCAATTATTGCACCAAAATTAATAGGAGTTGTTGAAGTGAATGGAGTGGTTGAGGTGGTTGAAGTTGTTGGTGAATATACGGAAGTTGATGGAGTTGGAGTGGAGGTAGTGGAAGTTGATTTGGTAGGGTCATATGATGTAACCCATTTATAACTATCTTTCTGACTTACATCAAGAAGAAACATGTTATTTGTATAATCATTATCTGGAACAGAAATCAAAAGTTATTAGTTTGTAAATTATTAATTTGAAAACAATAATGCAATAATATTGTGTTTACCAGATATTCCAAATGCAATAAGAATATAAGTTCCAATTAATATGGAATTAAAACGGTTCAAATTATTTTGAGAGCCACCAATGTTTGAAATTGTAGGAATCGACCATACAAACTTCAAGGTATCAAGTGCCATAATCGAATTATCCGGAATCGGATATCCATAAAATATTAAAATTTGATTATATTGAGCTATAATAAAAAATTAAATACACATTATCGTTACCATTATAAGCTGAAAATTACAACATAACTCAACTCACACTACTTACGTATAAAGACTGTTCCGTGGTGATATCGTGCGGATGGAATATTCCCTGAAGTAGGCTGGATGCAATTATGATAAAGATCATATAAATAAATATCTCTTGATATGCTCAATTAGACAGAAGTTCAAATTTGAAATGACATACAACAATGCTCCAGGTATTATCATCAATATTGTACATTGGTAACTGTTTGTGTTAATATAAGTTAGCAACCTATTATACAGTTATAAATTAAATAAAATTGTTGACGAAACAAAGGCGAACCTTATCTAATAAAAGATAGGAAATAGTTGCGCCATAACGAACAGAATTACCCCCAATATATAATATATGTGTATTGTTTAAGAGTATAGCACCATTACCGAAAAGTCCAATAGGAGCCATTAATCCAGGATAAAATATTGACCATGCTAAATTTAATACATCTAATTTAACCATGCTAAATAAATTTTCATATCCCCCATAGATATACATTCTATCTCCCGAAACAACACATTGGGTAAATTTTCGTTCTACTATAAAGTTTTCTGACATTTTTGGTATGCTCCATTGTTGTGCTGTGATATCAAATATGGCAGTAAAATTATCAACTTCTCCGCCGCCAAAATAAAAAATTTGATTATTATTTGTTCCACAGGCTGTTGAACCAGTCCTATTTATTCGACCTGTTATTGAAGAAAGATCGGTCCAAGGCATTGATGCTACGTCACTTGTTGTAAAAGGTTTTGAAACATCAAGATAGAAAAAGCTATCAACATAACTTCTATTCCATCCACCATTAAAATAAACCTTATTGTTAATCAGAACTACGGATGATTCCATCATCGGGGAAGGAACGAACGCATTTATACCACTAACAAAAATAAAAAGACAAATAATAATCGTTATCAAAATAGGATTCATAGTCTCGTTTTACTATCGTTTAGTATATCCCTATAAACGCAATAGCACAATGATGAAATTTTAGTGGAGTTTTTATTGCATTAAAAACGGGTGTCACCTTGTGCATATATCCAGATTTTGTTCCTCCAAATTGATTGTTACATTACGGGACAAGATAATACTTACAGAATATGTTACATCTTTCTACCTAATAAATTCTTTATTAATTTTCCTTAATAGCAAAAGAATCATCAAGGCCCACAATTATTTTCATGATTCTTTTACTTCTTTATGAAGTTTGATATCATCTTTCAAACATTGACATTGATTTTAATAGTAAAATCATTTGTGCTATTGTAAAAAAAAAAAAAAATTGTAAAAGTCTTTAACAAAATTTGTGCATGATTACACAATACTTTACACTTGATGCGAAATAACTTTATTTTTATTATCATTATATATATCAAGTAAATAAAATAATAATAATAATTAAAGATCTCTGCAATTTTCTATTTTTCTATTTTTCTATAAATTGTTTCGGGTTCCCAATCTCAGAATTTTGAAAAAAAATGGAATTCGTAAATAAACAAATATCATAATAATTAATACCAAACTCGGGTATGTCATGAATAAAAAAAAGGGGATTATGAACAAATAGATATAAAATAAATAAATGGTATTCGCATAACACCCAATGTCCATGTCTTAGTCGCGTGAAAATAAGTCTAAAGAGAATTCTGAACGTAAGGCTTTTTCTGAATCCTGGTTAATGGAAAATTATATATAAATAGAAATCATTTGACACAAAAACCGATTTATTTTACATGGGTTGATCGACAGTATAAAAAAAAATTGTGTTCAAAAAAAAAATCGGGATTTTAAAATTGTGCCGATTTTTGTGCAACGATTCGATAAAATATAAAATTGTGACAGTTTTTTTTTAAAAATTTTTTTAAAAAAAAATTCATTATTATTATTATTTTTTCATTTATTTCATTTATTGGTTTACTAAAAATTTTCTCGTACGTATAAAGTGAGTTCCTCATTTAATAATAATAATTAATTCTAAAATATATGTGGATTGTATTATTATTTGTGGGTGGAAATTATCGGGAATGCAATTATGGAGTGCATTATATATTATGGTTCATGACGCTATACATTTACTAACAAATCATTTTACTTTATTTTTTTATACTTTATTGCATCATCATCATCATCATTATGAAATTTTAATTGAATCAAAGAAGCGAAAATCCCAAATTGGAAATTATGACTGAAGTAGCTGATGGTACCAAATCAAATTTTTTATCTATCTAAGAATTTTATATAACTTAAAAAAAAATAAAATATCTATTGAGAATTTATTTTAATCATGAAGAAGAATCAAGAAAATAAAGAAAGAATAAATGAATTTTGAAATCAAGAGAATTGAAATTAAGAAATGAAATTAAGAATTCAAATTATAGAATTCATAGAATTGAAAATAAAATTAAATTAATTCATTAATTCACTAATTAAACTATATACTATTTATTACTTTTACATTATATACATTATATCACGAAGGCAATAATAGTATGAGATCATACAGACGTAGGTTTGCAGCCTTTGCGTCTGATGCATCATCGTTACGTGTTCGCCGAAATCTCATTAGACAGATCGAGTCAGATGTAGAACGAGATGAAGGTTAACTTTGTTATTATTATTATCATCATTATTATTATTATTATCATATCGTAATATAGTATCTTTAATATGTAAAAATAATTTATTTAATTAATATGAATTAATATGATTATTATATGAATTAATATATGAATTAATGTGAAATAGATAGAACACGAACTCCAGCTGAAATAATAAATGATGTATTAACTTGTATTCAAGATCGAACAGAAGATCCAGCCATAAGGGTTGATAAATTGGGAAGTTTGGTTCGATTAATAAAAAATCATGAAAGATTAAAATATACTTATCCAGCCGAACCATTTTTAAGAGGGTATTTTTTTTTTCTTAACCGTATTTCTTGATATATATATATATTTTTTTTTTTATATCTAATATATTTAACAGATTTCCATTTATAAAAAATATTTAATTATTTTCAAATAGATTAAGGTTTTGTGTTGCAGATTCAGTTAAAGAAGTAAGAGTAGCAGGATATCGTGCTTTACGTTATTTAATTGCAGATGTCACAACTTTGGAACAAATAGTAAAATTACATTACGAAATATTTTTTATGAGGTGTGTTGTGTGCGAATAATTAATAATTGATAAATAATAATTTAACTAACGAGGATTAAATAATAATTTATAATTTAATTAGATCATTAATAAAAGATCCACGTCAATTCAATGATGAGAGAGAACAAGTTTTAAAGATTATAAGAACATTTTCCGATGTTCCAGGAGGGACAAAACATATATCACTTGGAATATTAAGATGTATAGTTTCCATAGTTGAACAATCAGATGAGAAATTACGAAATATTTGTTTAGAGACTTTGGCTGAAATAATGATTAGAGAACCAATACTTATTTCTCATTGTTCTGGAATGAGAGTATTATTACAAGCTTTAATTGATGGACCTTTTGAAATTGCGGAATATTTAATGGTTTCTTTGTTGTATGTTGTTGATACTCCGAATTACAGAGAATGTATAAGACCTGGAGTTGATTTAGAGGTTAGAATTATATTATTATTTAAATAATTATATTATTATTAAATAATCATATTATTATTTATATTATATTATTATTTACATTATATTAATTATATTATTAAATATTTATAGATTGTTCTTTCAGGATTTACAGATGCATGTAATAAAGGACCCAAATATAATCAAAGAATAAAAGCCAGTTCTAGAGCAATAACAGTATTATTAAAATCATGGACAGGAATTATTTATTTATGTATGGATAATAAACAAGCCATAAGATCTATTGTAGAATCATTTAGAATTACATCTGATGATACACGGGTCAGTTGGTGTCTTTTATTATTATTTCTATTTTTTTTTTTTTTTATTTCTTTTTGATTTCTTTATTTCTTTTTGGTTGTATTTATTCCTTTTTTTTTTGTTGTGTGAGTTTTTCTTTTTTTTTTTTTGTTATATTTCTCTTTATTATATTCTCTTTTTTTGTTATATTTCAATTCCTATCGTTTTGTCATAATTATTTTAAATTATTTGGAATTGTTTACGACCACATGTGTTTCTTATCCGATTAGAACTTTTTTGATAATAATCAAAAATTAGGAAATAATGCTTGATATGTTTTTCGCCATTTTTCGAATCAAAGCACCAGAATGGTATCCGAGCTTTTTATCTGGAAAAAGGCTCACGAGTAATTATTACTTATTTATATTTATCTGTTTATTCATTTATTTACTATATTTTAGAGTTCCATCTATTTTTATATTTCTATTTTAATTATGATGATATAATAGTTTTTATATTTAATAATATTAATAATAAAACTTTAATCAAATTAATTATTAATTTTTATTTCTTTTTTAATTATTAAAAGTTTATGGATTATCATCACCACAAGATAATAATGGAGAACCACCACCTAATCCATTAAAGTGTAATGACAGATTAAATTTATTAGACCATCATTTGGTAATATTATTAGAAATATTTATAGATGCAGGATTGCTTGATGTAAGTTAACAATTAACTTTTTAGATTTTATATTATATATTTTATACATTTTATACATTTTATATATTTTATACATTTTATATATTTTATATATTTTATATATTTTATATATTTTATATATTTTATATACTTTATATATTTTATATATTTTATATATTTTATATATTTTATATACTTTATATATTTTTATGATAATCAATAAATTATTTCTAAAAATAGGCATTAGTTGAAATTATTGAAGATAAAAACCAACTATTAGCTCGTAGGGCAACTCTTTTCATTGGTGAAATACTTCAATTAGCTAATAGATTATTATCTGTAAATAGATCAATAAAAATACAGGTAATCAATTAGTTTAATCATTTATAATTTACATAATATTTTATAATTCAATCTAAATATTTTTATTTTATTATTTAGTCACTTCCCAAACTTTTTAATTTAGCCACAAAATTTGATAATGAAATAGTTCGTCATAATGCAACTGCTGCATTATCACATATTGATAACTTAAATCGAACTCGTAGTCGTCTTCAAGTAGTTACTGGTATAGATAATGAAGATCCTACTACTACCACAACAGCTACAACCACTGCTACAACCACCACCACCACCACTTCTTCTTCGACTACTTCCCCTACTTCTACAATTTCAACAAGTAATCTTCAAAAAAGAAGAAACGCTCGTCAAGTTGAAAATGTTAAAATTAAAATGGGTATACAAATTGATGATAATCATTTTAGAAATATGTTATTAGAAACTCAGGTAAACTCTTTTTTTTAAAAAAAAATTTATTTTGAAATTTATTTTTAATTCATTTTTTTAATTTTTCTTTTAATTTATCTTTTCATTAATAATTTACATTCATTTATTATAATTATGGTATTATTGTTGTTGTTGTTGTTGTCATTATTATTATTGTTGTTGTTTCTGTTTTTTTGTTGTCATTATTATATTGTTGTTGTTAATATAGGTATTGAATACAAATGATTATTTAAAATGGAATTGGGAAACATTATTAGAATTATTACAAGGTCCATTATTAAATCCTCGTCGGTTGGAGGAAGCAATTAAAACAAAATTTATGAAACGCCTTTTGGGATTTTTTCGTCCAAATAGTAGACGATTTTCTGAAATCGAAAGGACTCCTTTATGTCATGTAAATATGTTATTTATTATTATATATATATATCTATATTCAAAGAAGTGTCATGTATTATATGTTATATATTTGAGAAATTTAACTTTTTATTTATTTATTTTTTCATTTTTAAGGATAACGAACGTTATATACAATTAGGGTGTACACTTATTACAACACTTTTGGCTAATATTGATGGTGTCAAGTATTTAGAAAGTAATAAATTTTTAAGACAAATTGCGGAAGGATTAAATCAATTAGACCCAGTATGCAAAATTTTTCTCTTTTTTTTTTTTTAATTACAAATTTTTTCATAATTGATAATTTTTTTTTTTATTATAATTTAATTTAATTAACGCATATATTTACATGTATTTGTACATAAATTAAAATTTAGATCAACGGAACTTTTGAAAGTGAACCATTATTTTCTAAAGAAAGAATAAATAGTACATTAACTGCGGGTTATTTTACAATGATAGGAGTTCTTAGTAAATTTAAAGATGGTGTCAAGTAATTATTATTGTTGTTATTATTATCATCATCATCAATGTTATTTATTATATATTAACAATTATTAATAGTATTTTTGTTATAATATTTAAAGGTTATTGGAGAAATTCAAAATATTTAATACATTTTATCATTTAAGTGAATTGAGAAGTCGGGAAGATCTTATAAAGGCTATAATAACGAATCTTGATTACAGTTTGTAAATATCCTTAATTATTGATTATTTATTGATTATTAAATTTATTCATACAATTGGTAATTAATTAATGTGATTATTGGTTATATTTGTTAAATTTTTATTTTTAGGGACGGGCATCCTCGTATTCTTCTTTCTAAAGTGATGACTTCTGGGTATAAGGTATTTTTTATTTTATTTTTTTTATTGTACATATTATTCGAAAATATTATAACTAGATTATACCCATCATATGTCTTAACACATTTCTTAATAATATTAAGCGAGTTCGTCTTTATGCCACAAAACACCTTGGTTTGATTTTACGAACATCACCCAAGAAATTTAATGAATGGGGAATTCAATTACTTATAACTCAGGTATTAATTGGTATTAATTAATTAATTAATTAATTAATTAATGATTGATATTATTAATGATTTCATAATAATCGATTTCTCTCCCTCTCTTTCTTTCGTTCGATATTCTACATTCCACATATAGTTATATGATCCTGCAATGGAAGTATGTCAAATGGCAGTTCAAGTTCTAGAAGAAACATGTAATCAAAAAGAAAATATCGAATTACTTGTTAAATTAAGACCTAGTTTAGATAATTTGGGGGAAGTGGGTAATCCATTATTACTAAGATTTTTATCAACTTCAATTGGATTCAAATATCTTTCTGAATCTAATTATGTTGAAAAAGAAATGGATGATTGGTTTCAGGTAAATTTAATTATATTTATATTTATTTGTTTAATTAATTTATTTTAAAATTATATTTAATTTTATTTAATTAATTATATTTAATTGTATTTTAATTAATTCCATTTTAAATATATAAAGAGTCGTAATCAATATTACGTGACTCAATTAGAAGTTTCCTTGGCAAATGCATTGAAACTTGATGGAGAAGAAAATCGTGCTGCGGATGATGATGACAAGGACGTCAAAATGTGAGTGCAGTTAATATATATTAATTAATTAATTAATTAAGAAAATATTTCTCATCATTAAATCACATCCATCATTACATTTTGAATTTATAATAATCATCATCTTTTATATAATAGGCATAACTTTGATGGAATGACTCCCGCCCATTTTTATGGGGAATTGACAAAAACCGAAGAAGGATGTCAATTACTTCGAGAAAAAGGTCATTTTCGAGAATTTGCGAATTTCATAAGAGAACATGGAATGGAAAAGAGTGATACCCTTATTATATATAAATTAAAATCTATTCTTTGGGCTGTTGTGAGTTTAAATATATATTTTTATATATATATTATGTTTATTTATTGTATTTATTGTTTTATTGTGTTTATTGCATTTATTGTATTTATTATATTTGTATTGTATTTATTATATTCATCGCTTTTTAATTGTTTTATAGGGTAACATTGGTGCATCGAAAAGTGGATTACAATTTTTAGAAGAAGAAAATATTATAAAAGATATTGTATACATAGCAGAAAATTCGGCTGTCTTATCATTAAAAGGGTCTGTTAAAATATAATAAATTTGAATTTTTTTTTTTTTAGATTCATTGTTTTGTATATCTTGCTTATTTATTTATTTATGTTATTTATATTTATTTATTTATTAGAACTTGCTTTCATGTTTTGGGCTTAATTTCCAAAACTGCATCTGGTGCTAAAGTAATGGAAGATTTGGGTTGGGAATCTGTTTATGATTCATATACCGAAATTGGATCTGGTTTATGCTATCCTATTAATTCCCAAGCATTTCTTTCAGTAAGTCTAATATTCATTTGTGTAATTCTTAAATTTTTTATTATTATATTTCACAAGTTATTCTAATTATTATTATTATTGTTGTTGTTTATTGTTTAGTTCCAAAAGTGGTCATATAAAGGATTTGATTCTGCACCCGATCTACCTATTAAACATATTGTTCCTTCTTCACAAGCTGAAAGAGATTTATTAAGAGCCATGGCTAACTTGACTAATAGGATATTATCAAGTACAGGTTCAAAAAGTTTGTCAAAGTAAGTAAAAAAATTAATTATATTATATTAACAATGAAAATATGATTAAGAATAATTGAATAACCATTTATACATAATTATTTACAATTACTTAGGATAAGGAATCAACATCCCGAAGTATTTACTAAATTAGAGACTTATTATAAAATAGTTCAAATGTTAGCTTCATATCATTATAGATTACCCACAAGAAGACTTGTTAGTGAACTATTTAATGTAGATTTTACTGCTGAAACTTTTGATCAACTTGATAATTTGGTGGAAACTTATAATCATTTAAAAGTTAATGGAATAAATAATTCTCATGAAAAAATGACGACAAATGTTGTTGGTGGTGGCGTTAATGGAACAACAAAAAACGGTGATGAAGATGATGATGATGATGATGATGATGATGACGAAGGGGTTAATAATCAAAAACTCCATCAACAAAGAATGTCAAATTTTACTAGAGTTCATCGAGGCAGTGATGGTGTTATAAATGTAATTTCGGAATGTCAAGTTGATCCGAATGCAGAAGAAGTTGTTCCAAAACAAGACTTAAAACCTCTTACTGTTATTAGAGGTTTTACAGCTAAAAATTTTTTTTAAGGTTAATAATTAACCTTTCATCAAAATTGTACAGAATTTTTTACTACATATTTATATATTATATTTTATGAGCTTGCTTTTTATTTTTATTTTTTTTATTTATTTATTATTATTATTTATATTATTTTCTATTTGATTATTATGGACTTTAAATTTTGGTTGATCATTTTTAAGTACATTTACAATTCGGGCTGGGAACCCCTTTTGATTTTCTTTGATTTAACCGTTCGTTATCTGTTATGTTTTATTATTTTATTATTATTATGTTAACAATTTTTTTTTTTTTTTAAAAAAAAAAAATTCTTTGTATTTAATTATTATTATTGATTTTATTTATTTATCGTTTTTTTTACATTACATTATTTTAACTATATATATTAGTTTGGTTTGTATTTATAGAATAATGATTTTTAAAAATTTTTTGGTGATGGGACAATTCAATTATTTATTTTTTGTGTAATTTTAGCAAATATATTTGTAACATATATATATGAAAAAAAATTCTAATTTATTATAAAAATATTATAACAGAACAAATTAAAAAGTTTCCAATATTCAATTATTTTTCATGTGCACATAATTTGTGCGAGATATTTTATTAATAAAGATTTCGATTAGAGGAACATGAAATTTTTTTTTTGTGTGGTAAATTGTAACGCACACGTGATTTTATTAAAATCGCATGTAGTAACAGAAAAAATTATTTCTACCACTTCTACCTGAATTATGATTAATTATTTGTTAAGAAGGCGAATTCGAATTATTGCTACGATATGAAGGACAAATGAAGATTTATTCCATCAATTGTATCGACTATAAAAAAATAAAGATCAAATTATTTATCAAAAAAAAATGTCACCTACAAACGGGTTATAAATTTTTGTTAGTTTATTTTTATTTCACCCACACACGAGTTTAATGTGTCGACTATAATAAAAAATAAATTAAAATATCATTAGTTTATTTTATAGATCAAATTATTTATCAAAAAATATCACCTATAAAGAGGAGGTCTTGCTTGTCTAAAAAAAAAAATAATAAAAAAATAGATAGGTGATATTTTTTTTATACAAGGAGCTTGGTCAATTAACTCACGTCTACAAATCATATGAGCGACGTGTCAAAACAGAATACATTTTGAGTAAAAACAACCTTATCGTGAAAAAAATTATAACAAGATCGAGATTTTTTATTTTTTGGTTGCCTCGAAAAATATCTTTTTATAAAGTTAACTTTAATTGAATTAAAAAGCATTAACTAATAAAAATATTTTGCTGATAAAAATAACGAGCCAAAAAATATGTTCCCTTTTTTATTAATACACGTCATATATATATAAAGACACTATACAAAAAGATAAATTTCATCTTCTGCATATTTGATTATAAAAAGACGTCACAGCTCACTTTTCAGTTATTATCCAATACTACTAAAAAAGGGCGAATTTCCTTGGATCTTTTCTTTTATAACAATTTATTCTCTAAAATTACCATCCGAACTGTGTTTGTACATTATAAAATTAAATTGGCCCAAATGGTTTATAAAAGAAAAATATTAAATTATATGTATTAAAGGATATTAAATTATGAAAAATTCAAAAATAACTGTATGATTATTAATTTCATTATTTAAATTATTTAATAAAATATATGTCATTTCATATTAATTCATGTATTTAATATAATGATAGATAATACTACTAATTGTAATAGTATTTTGAAAAAGATACTAGTCAAATACAAAAAAATTGCTATACCAAATGATAATTCCTATATTATAGATCAGCTAAAATCGAAATTCCTATATTATAGACCAGCTAACTGTCCTATTTTTATATTTTTATCCTATATTATAAATCAGCTAAAATTAGAATTCCTATTTGCATCAGTATTTGACTTGTGATATATGTACATTCTATGGATTTTGCTAAATCAGTTATTGGAGTAGTGCCTTACTGAAAACTTCAAAAATGGAAGCTTTTACTTTTGCACACAGAGTGCTTAATGTACAGTGTGATTCAAAATTATTTGAAAAAATAAATTTATTATTACAACCACCAAACCAATTACATTTACAGCTGAGATCATTTTTCTTAATTTGAAAGCAATCAGTTGATTTCCTTTCCCATGGTCTTGACTCAGTACAGCACTGATGGTGAAGTCAGAAGCATCAGTGGTTACTATAAATGGCTTTTGAAAAGTGTATTTTATTAATAAAAAAAAATTTAATAATTAATATCACCTTTATTTTCTATTACCAGCAAATATCTCTTTTTATTATTTTACTAAATTCTCAAATGTATCATTTGGAATTAAATCCTATTCCTCCTTTGTAAATAACTCTAATTCACCCAAATTTTTTGGTTTTTTTTCATGTTTCTTTTAACTATACTCCATAGGTTTTTGATCAGATTTAAATCCAGACTACAAGATGGCCAATCAATAACTTTAGAAAAATTCAATTCAAGATAGAACTTTGCAAGATGACTCGTATGTTTCAGATCATTATCCTGTTGAAACCTCCAATGTTTTTCAGAAGAGCATTAAAATATCTACATAAAATTTGGCATTCATTGTTTCTTTAAAGCAAAATAAATTAACTTTACCCTTCTTACAAAACCTATCTCACACAAAAATTTTTCTCCTATCTTTAGTAATCTGACAAACCAGTCTTGAACCTTTATACTACAGACCAATTGTGTTATGGAAGAGTTGAAATGTAGTTTCATCTAAAAAAAAATTTGTTCCAATTGTCATTCAAGTGTTTTTTAATCCACTTCATCCACTTCTCTTTGTGTTGTATAGTAAGCATTGGCAAAATTTTTGAAACATCATTTTGATAGTTGAGACCTTACAAATATCTTAAAACAGTTGGTTCCATCTAGTTCTGTTATCAAACTCCTTGTTGAAATAAACAGATTTTTTTGAATTTGTTTTTTTTGTGAAATTATCTTTGAATGACTCACTCCTTTTAACTGTATAATTTTTCCAGTTTTTCTAAGTTTTTTAAAGTTTAAATAGGTAGTAGACATTGGTGTTTTTGTTGCTATATGTATTTTTTTTACAGAATGTATATCCCATGTCACTGGTTATAAAGGGTAGTAGTAGTCATCAAAATTTTAATACTTGTCACAAGAGAAAAATCAAAGAACTAAGAATCTGTAAGAAGTTTAATGAAGTTCTATTTTCATATTCATTTAACTTTGAAATATTATTGTATTTTATATATATTGTAATGAATATATATATTATTATTGTAAACATAGGCTGAATGGTTGGAACTAAAACATATGATTTATTTACAGGAAATGCTGACTTTTGAGTTGCCATAGTAGTAGTTAAATAAAATAAAGGGAGTGATATTGATCTTGAAGTTCTTGTAGTAGGAAATGAAGGAGGTGAGATTGGTAAAAGTTTTATATATTTGATATCTATATATTAATAAATATATTAATTATTTTAAAATAATAAAATTTTTTTATAAATTTATCCAAGACTTGAGAAGAAAATCCTCAGCTTTTAATCCATATCTTGCTTGTTCCAAATCTAAATAAAATTATCAATTATAAGCTAACAAGCTAATATCTATTTTTTTAGATTATATATCTATACTGTATAGAAAACTACAAATCAATATGTCCTCTTCTACAATCTGATGATAAGGGTGAAATTTCTATCTTCTTACTTTTAGTTTATCAGGTTTACTTGATAATTTAATCTACAAGCATTGTTTAAGTCTTGTTGGAGGATTGCAGAAACAATTGTTCCATATGCATCTTGCTCAATTTCATCTTCAAGATCCTTTATATGTTTTGGTAAAATCTTGTAAATAATGAAAAAAGGTATTATATATGAAGTAAACAATACCATGGTGAATACCTCAAGTTATTGAAAGGTTGCTATGTAATAAGAGGTGAAATGGAAATGCTACAATTTGTCCTAACATTAATGAAATCATTTTTTGAAATTGAGAAAAGCAGAGTTTCCTTCTATCAAAATCACTTAAAACAATTAAATAACAAAAAGAATTCAGCTCGTTGTACTTGTCCCAATGGTAATCACTAATTGTATTGTAATTAATTGTGATTATATGAAAGGTTTCAAATGGACATAATACAAATGAACCTTATATTAATTTGCTTAGTTTGATATATAACCCTTCATAATTTTCTTTGATAAAATTATTAATACAATTTGTTAATAGACTTAAATAAAAAAGTAAATTATTAATTTGGTTTTGATATTCTATATCATAAGAGTTAACAGTATTAGAGATTGTAAAAAAAAGAGGTTGTTTCAAGTATATGTTCTAAAATACTTTACAAAATTTGTTCAAAATTCTTTGCTTTGGTACAAAGATATTCTAATATATGAAATAATAATAATTTATTGTATCTTGAATCTGTACAAAAGCATTTTGATTTTTAAGTTTTCAGTATTAAATTGTTTTGATTAACAATATGACTTGGTGAAACTATATAATGGAATTTTATTACTCCTTCATATTCAAGACTATTCTATTGTTTGTATCCTTGATAATATTCTTGTTTGTACTTATGATTTGAGCTAATTTGTCCTAAACTTGTCTATATTTTTTTCTATCTTTTAACTTTATTAATCTTATTGCTACAATAACTATTCAAAATAGTAGTTTTTTAATTTCTCATATTCCAATAATATTTTTTAAAGAATTGATTAACTAAATTAGATAATGATTGGGGATTGCAGAATAATTTATTAATATACTTTTGATAATTAGAATTATGGATACTTGTAATGTCGGAACTAATATATAAAGAGAGATTTTCAATTGCTTCTATTTCTATAAAATTATATACTTCTAATAATTTCAAGTTTTTGAAACTTAAAATCATATTATTGTACAAGTGTAAGATGCAATGATAATTTATTTGATATTAAGAATTTCTATAGTCTAGAGCAAATGTATCAAAATGTTTAATAAAATTTTCCAAAAACTCTTTTCTTATGTGACTAGTACTCTAATATGTAAAAATAATAATTATTAATACTTTTAATTGCTTTTACTACAGCTTCAAAATTATCTATTAATCCTGAATGAAGTAATGTCTCATTGCTATTATTAACAATAAATATTGAATTTATTAAATTTAAAATTTGTAGAAAGGTGAAAGCCAAATTTTATGAACTCTATTTACTTATATACTTTACTTTATACATGTTGTCAAAAGTAAAAAAGCCTTTAACTCAATTTCAATTTTTTCAATTTTTAATTATAAATCCATTGTTATTTCTATTAGAAAGGTGATTTTTTTAGAAATGATCTTGAGGTATATGTTGAAATGGATTAAATTTTAAATAAAAAAAGGTAAAATTTGAATGCTTAATCTATATTTCATCATGAAATTTTTTTCTTGCATATTTTTTAATAAATTATATTATTGTTTTAATTTTTTTATTTGAACTCAATAATTGTGTCAATTTACTATGTAAAAATGAAAATTTTGTTTTGACTTAACTTCACTTTTTTCAATTTTTAATTGCATTTGACTCAATTCAATAGTTTTGATAACATATATACTTTATTTGATTTAAATCACTAAAATTATCAACAAATCTTTAATTCTTAATATAGTAATTCTGAACCAGTAAAATTGTAGCTAAACTTGTTATATTAATATATGTAACTAAAATGTCAAAACCAAAGCCTATGTATATTTGATATTATTGAGAAAAATGAATTCCATTTAGACAAGACAATTATTTTAATAGGATCAAATAGACTAAATCTCAATTATTGTTAATATTATGGATTTTTATACAATATTCAAAATTTAATATTCTACTAATATTCAAAAACTCTGGATCATATGAAAGTATAGCAACATCTCCTTTGATTGTTTTGGTTTCTTCTTTTATTTATTTCAAAATCTTGACTCCCTATAACTTGGACTTTTTTAATGTCTATATTATATGTCATCCTAATTTAAATTCAAAATTCCAAATCCCAAAATTTATTTGTGCAACCCAAATCCCAACTTCCAAATATTTTGAACAGTCCAAATTATTTTAACTAAAAATGACACTTATAATTATTAAAGACTTCATTAAAAATCTACAATTCTGCAATTTACAAATTCACAATTATCTGCAAACTCTCAATTGTTTACAAGTTGCAATTGTTTTACAAGTCTGAAAAATCCAGAATTATTATTATAAAAAAATTTTTGAAACAACTATTATGGTGAGAGGAATCTAATAAGTTATAGGTCACAAAAATTGGATTACAAATTAGTGAAATTGCTTCATATAACATGAAAAATTATAATAGAATTTTATTTATTGATTAATACCTAATGATAAAACATTAATTTGCATAGAGAAGTTCAATTTTTGATGAAACAACTAACAAAATGTTCACCTCAATAAGGAAAATCTAATGAGTTATAAATTGCAAAAATTGGAATGCAAGTTAATAAAATTGCTTAATATAACATGAAAAATTATAATAAAATTTTATCTGCTGAGATTTTAAAAATGAAAATATTATCATACAAAAGTTTACAATTAATTGTGAATTTATGGATTTATATTGCAATTCTATTCAAAAATTCATAATATAAAGAATTTGAAAAAATAATTAGAGATACCATTTTTATCTACAAGGAAGGAAGATAGGATTTTACTTAGCAAAAGGAAAAAAAACAATGAAAAATAATAAGTTTTTTTTTTAAAAAAAAAAAATTTTAATAAAAAAAAGATTATCAGATCTATTTATTTTTTTTTTAAAAAATTAATAAAAAGACTATCAGGTAATAGTAAGATTGTAATTTTTTTTATAATCAAGTATTACTACATATATCACTTGCTTATCAAGTAACTATCCCGAATAATTATAAATCCCACTATAAACACAAGAACCTTGAATATTTGATTAACACAATCACCATTCTAATTTTGTTATGAAATTCAGCAGAAGTTCAAAAAAGTGTAATTTTATTAACATAAAAGGATTATATGCACATATTATTTATAACAGAGAGTTTTTCCAAACAAGTCAATCGAAAGTTAGTGAATTAAAAGTTATGACTTTTAATATGAATGGAGATCTATACAGTAAATTTAACTTGGTACATAGAAAATTCTAGAATAGGTATCGTTTAGAGTCTATTCTGTTTATGTTTGCCAATTCTATTTTTTAATAGAATTTTTATTAGCATGTTCGTAAGCTTGGCTTGTACAGTTAATGTATTAAAAATTACTTTGGTTTTTTATATGTTAAACAAATTATTAACATGGTCGAAGTAAAATGTGTAAACAATGTGTGTTGTGTGTAACAACTTCCTTTAATATACATATATAATTTTTTTTTAAAGAAAAAAAAAAAAGAAAGAAATTTCTTAAATACCAAGATGTTTGTTACATTTTAAACATTCTTCTTCCAATTCTTTTACCAAAACTACTTCAATTCCAAATTCTTTCAAATTTTCAATTCCATAACATTTAACAAATTTATCGGGTTCCCCACAACCTATCACCACCCTAGGTATTCCAATTTCTTTAATTCTATCAACACAACATTTTTTACCTGAAAGTCTTTTACTACAAGGTTCCATCGTGGTGTACATTGTTGAACCAATAAAATTCTTATTGTTGTTGTTATCATTATCATTTAATTTTTGTATTGCACATTCTTCAGCATGAGTATTTCCTGGTAATTCTCTTGAATACCCTGTTGCAAGAATTGTGTCATTTTTGACTATGACCTTGTTTTTTTTTTTTTTTAAAAAAAAAGGGATTTTTAAAATTTTAAAATTTTTTTTTTTTAAAAAAACAAAATGAATAAAAAATATATTTACCGCACCAACGCAATACGCCGATGTAATTGGCTCAGAAAGTTTAGCTTGTTCAAGTGCAATTCTCATGTAATGTAAATCATTCTCTAAAATTAACGAAAAAAGAATCATTATAAATTTTATATATATATATATATATATATAACCATTATTACCTGATGTTGGCATATTTTTTTTTTTTAAAACGAAAAAAAAAAAACTGGAATTTTTTTTTGATGTATAGATAATCCGTATAAATACTGAAATCAAAAAGTTTTGATGGATCGCCCAACGTGGGGGTCGAACCCACAACCTTGAGATTAAGAGTCTCACGCTCTACCGATTGAGCTAGCCGGGCTATTGATGTACAACCTTTTCTCTTTTTTTTTTCTAAACAATATTTTCATAGAAATAGGAAAGTATTATTTCACATATTTCACATGAACGTTATACAGTTCCCAAAAGTGGTCATTGTTTTTCTTGTATCCATCTATAGACAGACCCAAATTTTTATAAACTATTGGATTTTTTATTTGTTACGAATCAACCTTTTATTAAATCAAAATTTGATACCAACTCTATCTCTAAATCTCTAAATTAATAATTTAACAAAAAAAAATTTTTTAAAAAAATAAAGAGAAAAATGAATAATTTAGATATTGTCTCCGAAGAAAATCATGAAATGCTGTATCATGTTTAACAAGTCACGTGATTAAAATCTTGTTTAACAACGCGTCAGTGAGAATTATAAAGAACGAAAATTTCGAATCTTGCTTATTCTGCTCGATTAAGTTATTTTACTGATTTAAAAATATGAGTTACGAAAAAAGAAGTAATGAACAAATTGAACAAACGGTGATAAAGAGACCTCGAGTTGGAACCAGTTCAAGTTCTCTATACTTGGATACGGTGAGTTTAATATCTCTCTTCCTCTCTTCAACCTCTTTTTATATCTTTACCAAATTGATCATAACTTATTTTCTATATCATATATACATATACATGCATACATATATACACATTGTACATGTTTATAGATAAATCGTCATATGTTAGATTTTGATTTCGAAAAAGTATGTTCGGTTTCTTTATCAAATTTAAATGTATATGCATGCTTGGTATGCGGGAAGTATTTTCAAGGTAAAAAGATAATATATAATTGGATAGTTTTACCGGATCCAACAAAATTCAATATTGATCAAATTTCATCAAGTTTCGATAGTCCTTATTTTTTTAATATGATATTTTTCCATAATAGGTCGTGGACGTAGTTCACATGCTTATTTTCATAGTTTGCATGAAGACCATCATGTTTTTATTCATTTACACGAACTTACGGTATATACATTTGATTATGTATAATATATTCTTTTCTTAATTAAAAATTTACTTTTATGTATTGATGATCCTTTTTTTTTAAAGGTATATGTCTTACCTGATGGATATGAAGTTAAAGATTCTTCTTTAGATGACATCAGGGTAAGTAATTATATCTTTTTCACCTTATAATTCTAATTAATATTAATATTATTGTTGTTGTTGTTTTTAGTACGTGCTCCATCCAACTTTTACGAAAGAACAAGTTGCTCGATTGGATCAGAATATAAAACATTCATATGATTTAAATAATAAAAAATATTTACCAGGTAAATTATGATAAATATAAATGAATTCATAAAAAATGATTGAATTGCTAAAGTTTCATTGTTTTATATATTTCACATCCTTTTATATTTATACTTTTATACATTTATAGGATTTGTAGGTCTCAATAATGTTAAAGCTAATGATTATGTCAATGTAATAATACAAGCATTGGCACATATCCCTCCACTAAGAGATTATTTCATTTTACAAAATTTTGATAAAAAGTCACAATTAGGTAAGAAGATGATTTTTTATATTTTTTTTCACGATGAATCTTTTTTTTTGAGATCTTTCTTTCTTTATTTTTTTTAATAGTACAACGATTTAGTACTTTGGTTCGAAAAATTTGGAATCCCAGAGCTTTTAAAGGACAAGTCAGTCCTCATGAATTACTGCAAGAAATTTCCAATGCTAGTAATAAAGTATTTAAACTTGCGGAACAAAGTGATCCAATAGAATTTTTGTGTTGGTTTTTAAATTCTTTACATAAAGATTTGGGTGGGACTAAAAAAAGAAATAGCAGTATGTATGTTTTTTTTAAAAAAAATAAAATAAAATAATAATAATAATAATTAGAAATTGATTAATTTATTTTTTGAATTTTTTTTTTCATAAATTTTTTTCGTAAAAATTTTTTTTAGGTATAATTCATAATATATTTCAAGGAGAGGTTAAAGTTGAATCTCAACCATTAATCGTCAAATCAGATGCTGATGAAAAAGATCGATTGTTGTTTGATCTTAATCGAGGTAATTAGAGAACTTTCTTCAAATTTCACTTTCTTTAGTGTGCACTCTTTATATTTTAAATTTTTACTTTAAAAAAAAATTTACAACGTAGAAATCGAGACAATCCGAACACCATTTCTTTTATTGAGCTTGGATTTACCTCCACCTCCATTATTCAAAGATGAAGTTGAAAAAAATATTATTCCACAAGTGAGCAAGCAAAGAATATTTTGTTATATATATATATAATTTCTGTTAATACAATTTTCTTTATAATCATTATTAGATTGCTTTAACCACAATACTTGCAAAATATGATGGTCGTACTCCTCAGGTATACATTTATTATATCTCATGTATATTTTATATGTTTTACTGCCTCAATTATCATCATTTAAATAAATAAATAAATAAATAAATATTTATATATTAAATAACAGGAATCAGCGGGTACCTTAAAAAGATCACAATTAATTCGGTTACCAAATTATCTTATCTTTCATATCAAACGATTTACTAAAAATAATTGGGCCGAAGAGAAAAATCCTACAATTGTTAATTTTCCTATTAAGAATTTGGACATGAGAGATTGTAATTATTTTATTTTCTATCTAATTACTTTGATTTTTTTTTTTTGATTTATTTATTTATATTATTCATGACGATTATTATATTATTATTATCATTTTTCTTATTCTGTTGTAATTGTTTGTTGTTATTTGTTTTTTCGGTTATTGTTATTTGTTATTTGTTGATGTTGTCATATATTTAGACATAGAGAATGTAGATGAAGAAAAGCTCAGTACTCATTATGATCTTATTGCGAATGTTTGTCATGAAGGTAAACCGGGTAAAGGGAAAGGGATTTATAAAGGTTAGTTAGTTTATATTTCTTTATAATATGAAGATATTTATTTTATTTATTCCACATTCATTTTACATTTATTCGAATTTTATTCACATTTTATTCATTCTATTTAGTACATATTCAACATCGTGGTTCTAAAGACCAATGGTTTCAAATTCAAGATTTGATTGTTGAGGAAATTAATGCTCATATGATATTTTTATCTGAAAGCTATATTCAAGTCAGTATTTTTATTTTTTATTTTTTTAATTTCTCTTTATTTTTTTTAATAATAATAATGTTTAATAATATTTAATAATATTTAATTTCTTAGATTTGGGAAAGAAAACAACAAAATATGAAAATGGAAATAGATTAAACAATAATAATAATAATAATAATAATAATAATAATAATAATAATATTTATTTATTATTTATATTACCAGTTATATTAAATTATGTTAACTTGTAATTATTATCATTACCATTATTATTGTTATTGTTATTATGATTATTATTATTTAGATAGATTTTCAAAAATATATAAAATTATTATTAAAAAATTTTTATAATAATAATAATAATAATAATAGAAAAAAGAATATTAATTTATAATTAATTTATTTATTTATAATTTTTTGATTATAATTAATCTTAAAATTAATTAATTTATTAATATTAAAAAAATATTTCTTCAAACATAAATATATATTTATATGTCACACATGAGTATGAGTTTATATGTCACCCGTGATGACAATTAATGAACCAATCAAAAGTCCATAATCAATCAACATATAAATACTTGAAATAAAATTTTTCAAATTTTTTTTTGAAACTCTTCGACATCACCACGGAACGAATTATAGAACTGGCAGAAAATAGAAATATGAACCACCAACAAAGAAAATTAATTCCCATGAATACTCCGGGGTATTCAACTCCTTCTTCGTCAACCTCATCGTCAGACCAATATAACCAATTTGGTCAAAATGTTTTTAATACCCCAGGAATTTTACCACCACAACATCACACAACACCACACGCACAACACACACCACACATACAACAACAACAACAACTACCACGATATCCATATCAAACTACTATGCAGCGATATCCTTCTCTTGGGCAACCCCAACAACAGCAGCAACAACAACCTCAGGTTAGCTTCGTGATACAAATTTTGCAGTTTTCGCGTTGACTTGCATAACACATATATATATATATCGCACGTTGACTTCAAATCCAAAAAAAAAAAAAACTCAAAAAACAAAAAAACCCTTAAACAAAAATTTCGTAATTAGAGTTTACTCTTTGTTTCTATATGCAGAACATTACAACGTTGTTAGTGTAACGTACTTGAGAGCTGCATAAATATCTAATACCTTCTTTTTACAAAAAAAAAAATCATTATTTAAAGAGAACGAATCGAGAATTTTAAAAAATAAAAAAATATAAATATATTTATATATATACATTTTTAATTAATTCTATATTTTTTATATTGATATTTTAAATTTAGAAAATTTCATAATAATATAAAAATTATATTACTTTTTTTGGTTATTTTATTTTAATTAGTTTGTTCAACAACACGCTCAACACTCACAACAATTAAAAATGAATAATCCAGGGCAATCAACACATCCTCGTTATCACATGAATAATATGGTTAATATGGCTAATATGCAAGGAGGACAAGGAATGATTCCTAATTCTCAAACAGTCATTAGAAAACGGAATATGGCGGATAATTCAACGATTAACGTTCAACAAGCCAAGTAAGTAAATTTTATTAAATTTTTATCAAATTTCAATCAAATTCTTTTTTTCAAATTCTATTAAAATTTTAAATTTATTCAAATATAATTTTCAATTTAACAGGAAAAAAAGAACGATTGACAGAAACATCCCAGAAAAGGTATCTTTTTTTTATTATTATTATTATCATTTGCAATTTACCAAATTGATCAATCAATCAATTCATTCAACAATTCATTATTAATTCAAATTATTTTTATTTATTGATATAATAATAATAATAATAATAATAATAATAATAATTATAATAATAATAATAATAATAATAATTATAATAATAATAATAATAAT